TTCAGCAATTTTAGACTACAAATTTCAACACATTATTATTTGCGCTAAACAAATAGTTCAAAGCTTTTAAACTCCATACCTAGCAGCACTGGTGAGATATAGACAAGTTCTCTTGAAATTTGCTTTATCAACATGCTCGACTAAAAGATCAAGATCCTCAACCTACAGTTAGGCAAAAAAAAACACATGTTTCAAGCTCGATAGCAAGAGAAGGGAATTCAAATAGAAACTTTAAGAGAAAAGATGTTGTGGTACCTCCATCAAGAGATCAACAGCTTCAGGTTCAGCATTGTGCTGCATCAAAAGTACAGAAGTTTAAGAAACGGGAAACCAACATACTCTTTTAAAAGAAAATTTCTGCAAAAAATCAATTGTGTGTTATGTTGCGTATGAAAAGGAGACAGCTATACCTTCATGTGAAAAGAAACAATTTGTTGCACAAGCTCCATTAGATCTTCAATTGGAGCCTCTTCACTCTGTATTAGCAACAAAAAAATTACAATTCAAAATCAGATTAACGAGAAACCTAATGTACTGAACTCATAGAAACTATTATATGTCTAAAGGCTCCTGAAGACTTCTAACCTGTCGCTTGATATACTCTTGTGAAATTTCTCCTGCCAAATTCCTGACAACAAATGATAAAGTGAGCACCAACCAAATAGTGAAAATTGAAACCAACAGATAAAAATTAAGGCATGATCATAATCTAAAATTGTTGACAAGTTTGACCAGATATAGCTAATGAAGAACTGGCTATAAAAAATTTCCAAGAAAATATGAGTAAATCAGTATGTTATCAATTCGGACAACACTCACCTCACATATTCATGACCCCATGAACCAATGTCACCTTCTGAACCCAACAATCTGTACTTCAAACTCTCCTGTAGGATTGTCAAAAAAAAAACTAGAGCTCAAAAAACCAGGGAATAAAAAATCGAAACAAACAAATATGTGTAATTTCACACTTAATAGTGTTTCAGAAAATCAAAAATTGAAAGTTACCCGCTCGCCCTCTGCAGACATGGTCAACGCCAAAACAGACAGGATATCAGCCAGGTAATTCTACAAACAAGTAAAAATAATTTAGTGATGCAGAAGGTGAATAAAAAGTTTATGTAAACTGAAATTCCTGATTTTTGAAATTATGGCTAATTGTAATCAGAAGGAATATAGGCTTCTGCCTAAACCTAATTAAAGCAATAACCTAAACAAACCAAAATTTCATATAGATTACTATTTATCCAAAAATATTTAGACAACATACATTTCACAGCACCCCTATAGAAATAATGCCTCCATCTAATACATCCTTCCCTGCACTGCTTATAGCCCAAATTGACAATACTCAAAAAAGATGTAATGGAAACGAATCAAAGCAAAACAACTAATACCTTCAAATTGGAATCCGGCATTGTCACATAAAAAGATTTCAGGGTTCCATAATGAGGACGGAGAAACTTCAATGGCTTCGGAACAGAAGTCATGGAGCTTGTCGAGGTGCGGATTTCGTGCCTACAAAGGATATCAAATCGAACCATAAAAAATTAAGCTGTATTCAAGCATTGAAACTAAACCCATCAATGGATACTACCACTAACTGTAAAACCAACAAATAACCCCTAATTTGATTCAGTCACCTCATGCTCTCAAGAGCTACTTTCTGTAGTCCGGGATCAGAATCTTGAACTCTCTCTACATATAACTCCAACTGTTGTTTCAAAGCCAAATCCTCCTCCGACTGCGTATATAAGAAAAAAACTAATTTAGAAAAAAGAATCAAAATTTCCAACAAAAACCCAAATCCAGAACGGCGGCTCACCAGATCCTCCTCCTCTTTCTTCTTTGGATCATTGGCCGGAGCCTTCGGCTGGGAAGTTCCGGCGTCGTTCTTCGGATCCGACATCGTAATTAGGGTTGCTTATCGGGTTTTACTTTAGGGATTTTTGGGGGGAGAAGGCTATGAAGAAAACAACAACAAAAATGAAATGATGTTATTATTATTATTTATATATATATATATACTTTCTAAATTAATTTCTCCCCAAGCAATCCAGTGTCTCTTTTTCATTAACAAAAGCTGAAAGGGTTTGGGTACTTGAACCAGCCCCAACCGGACTTATATGTTAACTGGTTTATCATTTTAAAGCCCATTTAAAATATATGGATCGAAACATTGGATCAGTTTTAGCAACAGCCGGCTCAATGAAATAGTTGGGTTTATTTTTCTAATGGTCCAATTCTTTTTCTTACAAGGTTCTCCTAATGCTTTATTCGAAGTGGGATCATCGAGACTAATTAAAAAAAATAGAATCATGAATTCACTTTGATGATTAGAGAATGTTGTTTTTTCTTCGAGATTATGAGTTCGAGCAGCCCCATCTGCAGGGTGTGTATGCATTGTTTATAGTTAAGAAAGATTATGAACGGATATTACCTTATAATCATAATAAATTATTTAAATAAAAAAGTGAGATCACATTAGGGATGACAGACATATACAATTTTGTGGATTTCGCACTGCACCCGTTTTAATTGGGGTTGGTATGGGTATAGGTTTAGTGAGTAGTGGGCGGGTCTGAATGTAAAAAGTTATATCCGTCATAGGTAGTACGTAGGTGATGCGTTTAAAATCTTACCCATATTGCATCCACCCGTCCTGTATCCGCCTGCCCCACATTCGCTCGCAACTAACTAACCACCATATAAAATTTATATTATTATGAATTTAAGTATAATTTCACAGAGTATTATGTAAATCTTAAGATTTTATAGTTTATAGTGGGTATAAACATTTTGAGGTTGTTGTCAGGTGCATGTATAGGCATGGTTTTCAGAACCGGACCAGTTAGCGAACCGGTCATGCTACCGGTTCACTGATTCAATCGGTCGAACCGGTCTGACCGATCGGAAGAACCGGACGACGTCATAATTATTTAAAAAATTAAATAAAATACCAAAAATATTTAATAAAAAAAAATTTTTTATATCACAAGTTATTCAAAGCAAGTCATAACATATATAAGTTAAAAACCATAAAATCAAGTGAAACAAAATGATTCAAATTACTACAACATAATATTTAAGGTAAACATATTAAATAAATATAGTTATATAACTATAATTAAAAAATAAATTTGGGTTAAAAAATCATAACAAAATGATATGTTTGGTTTAATTTTTTAAAAAAAACAATCCCATGGCTAAACATAGAGAGATCCCAAAAGTCTAAAGAGAAAATATGAGAACAAAACAATCTCACATTGCTAAGAAACATAGAAGCGCATCACAACTAACTTCTATAAATAATAGAGGTAATTTGACATTCAAAATCATGGAGCCTTTTGGTGAGCATTGAGTGAACTATTCTTTCACTTCAATCAAGCTTGAATTTTAGGCTTCAATCGAACTTCTAATTTTTTTTTTTTTGAGTTCAAGCCTTTATTACTTCAAGTTTCAATATTATATTTTGAGTTTGAGTTGAACTTGATAATTTTTAGCTTGTGAGTTTAAGTTGAGTTGGGCTTACTTTTAAAGTTTTCAAGTTCAAGTCGAGCTCAGCAATACTCGAGTTCGACTTGGCTCGTTTAACAAACGACGTTGTTTGGTTTAATTTTTTTTAAAAAAAAAACAAAAATCCCGGTTTTTCCTGGTTTTTCCAGTTTTCTGCCGGTCCAGTGGTTCTGGCCGGTTCACTACTAGTGGTTCAACCGGTTTAGATTGAACCGGATTAAGCAACGGTTATCGGTTGAACCGGCCGGTCCGATCCGGTTTTCAAAACAGAATGTATAGGTGGATACAGAATGAGTAGTGGGTATCTAGTTAAATAGTGAGGGTGAGGTGGATTTAAGAATGTATCCACGTAGGTGGATGTGAATTTAAAAATTTTACTCTGTCATGAGTGATAAGTAGATGATGAATACAAAATTATTAAATAGATATAAAGAGAGGGAGAAAGAGTAAGTGTACCCATCCCGCCTATTTGCCATCACCGGATCACACCATATATTTAAAAAAGCTTCGATGACTTGTTATTAAGAAGGTGTAAACTAACTAGTAAGTTCGACTCACTTAAAAAAACCCTGAACTAGGGTGTATATAATATCAAGAGGAGCATGAAAATCAAGTTTATATTTATCATATAAAAAGGTTGAATCAAGTATTTGAAAATCAGATTTCAGATCTCAAAATTACACTAAATGAAAATAACAAAATATTTATAGAAAAATGAATGAAAATCCATTTGATGTGTGAACCGGTGGTTGTCAGTGTGAATGACGAAAAGGATAAATAAATAATTGTAGATAAGACTTGACAAGAGTGAATGTCAGAAGGTCAGCCTGTGCCGTGTCAACTTTGGTTCCAAAAACGTTGGATTTTACGATAGTATGAATGAGGTCCCCTTTGCCTTTTGTGGTTATCCCCATGTCTCCCTTCCTCTTCACTCCCTTCCTCTTCACTCCCTTCCTCTTCACTCCCTTCATAGTCTCTGTTTCACCCTTTAAATTTGCCCATGTCTACCTTTATAGGCTGTGGTCATTCGATTTAAGATTACAAGGATTTGAATATTTTAGATATTATATAAATATATATATTTTAAAAATTGTTTGTGATTAGTTTGTCTTTTGTATTATTCAGATAGTTTAGTGTTTTTATGTATTCATTTAATTTTTCAAAATATATGTAACTTTTTTCTTTTAGAATCGTAAATAAAAAACGTCAAATATATATATGTTCTATTAAGCTATAAATAGGTATTTATATACTTGTTATTTCCACACTTATTGATTAAATAAATTCTATCAAATGACATTCATTTCGAATTATCAAACATACTTTAAAAAATATGTCATTGAAAATATTAACTTTTTTAATAGTTTATCAAACAAAATCTTAGTCGACTAAAACTAATTAATTATCCAAATTAACATTATAGTTTTTATAATTAAAAAACAGTATTTGAAAAATATTTTAGTAAATGCAAAGGATCGCTATTCTTGTGGATAACCAATGAAGATTTCATTATCAAACATAAATCCAAATAAATAATCTCATTCATAAAACCATTACAAAAGATGGTTTTCATTACCAGACATGGATCGGCAACCTTAATTAATAAAGCTGTCCTCGCATGGGAACAAAACAATAACCAAGTTGCACTACAACTTCAGTCGGAAAAAGAAACGAAGGATTAGATTTTTACATTAATTTAACGTCGAGTAATGTCGTCGGATTTTAGGGTTTTCAGCCATCGGCGGAGTAGTGAGCGGGTCAAGCACAAGAGGGCGGTATCTTGGGGACTCCTTGACGTTGCAGCTCAGCCAAAACACCGTCCGTCGAGGGTGGTTTCAGCCCGATCGGAAGCGGCAGTGACGGTTTTGATAAAACGTCTCCGATGGCTGCATCGATGCTCTCTTTCGTCTGTTTCACAACGTTAACATGTATAAATATAAAGATTATTGCAACTTATATATAAATAAAAAAAATCTAACTCGGACTACTAACCGGATGAAAGTCGAGGCGAGGGTGGCAACCTAATTGTCCGGCCGTGGCGCCGATGCCAGTGTCCGCTTCGTACATTGCATGGCGAGGAGGAATGCCCGGGACCGGTACTGCACCATATCTCTGCATGTAAAACACCAAACTCACTGAATTAATAACATAATCATTTAATTACATATAATGTTATATACACGTGCATCGGTGTATGTATATATATAGGAAGACAAACAAGAAGAAAGAAAACAGAACTGAGTGATTATTGGTTTACCGTTGGCGGTGGAAAGCAAGGTGTTCCCGGGGCTTGTCCATTTGGAACCTAATGAATAAAAAACCACCACTTTTAGAAGCTAAAACTTTTATATATTTTTAGTTTGTACTGGGGGCAAGAGCTTACACGGCGGTGGTGCCAAAAACTGGGGTCTGCCGGTGGCGGAGGGCCCCAAGTAGGTTGTAGCGACGGTGGAGGGGACATTGTGTGTGGCGCTAGATGTTTTGGCCATAAGTGCAATAAAGATCGGTCCATGGTGGGATGACCCCAAACATGCAAAGGCCTAAAATGGTGGTTTTGGTGGTGCATGGGCGGAAAACCCGTTGTAGGTGGAAGGCAAAGGTTCATATCTTGCTTGGCTCCGCCGTAGTCTTGCCTCCTGTGGATCCAACTTGCCGCCTCTGCCTCACGAGCTAGTAAATGTTTCCGATGAGATCTATATTTCTGAGAAATTTAATAATGAATTCTTAAAATTTTGATCAATGAAATGCATGAAAAAAATAGTGTTCTTTTCCCAATAATTTATTAAGAAAAATGGGAAATAATGGTTAAATTATTTACTTGGAGATGGCTGGCGATGTTATGGCGAGTGAGACAATCGGTTCCCATAATCTCTAAAATTCTCGATGGCACCGCCTTATTGACTCCGAGCTGCTCCACCGCTTGCACGAATCTCCTGTGAAGGTCCGGCGTCCAATCCACCTTCAAACAATTCAAGAGATAATTAGTCCATGAAATATGTATTTTCTTATACATCGAAACGAATCGACTTAATTAAGATTTTTATGGCAATTCTACATCGAAATAAAAAATCTAAGTTGTAGTATTATTTACCTTCACTTTTCGGGTGCCTTGATTGTTGTTGTTATTCTTTGCTTTTGATGATGATTTTCTTCCCTTATAATCATCTTTGGAAGGTGCTTTAACTACTTTAGGTTTCTCTCTTTTGTTAACAATCTGGTGGCTAATGTTATCGCTGTTGTTACTCGAACTCGAAACTTTATTTTCTTCTTTTTTTGGCTTATCGGCAGACAATTCTGCAAGCATTTCGGGGTCCATCTCCAAATCTGGCAACATGTCGCCTTCGACGTCGATACCGAGAAAAAGATCTTCAAAATCGATACTCTCGAGTAGGTTCCCGTCGGCAAAATCTGGGAACTCTTCGGAACTGATAGTAAAACTCCCCATCTCTCCTTTGCTCTCATCTTTGCTTGTGTTCCTCAAAGGCGACACAGCCTGCATTAATTCAATTTTTTCGCTTCCCCGCTCAAAAGACTAAACAAAAAACTGCAAATGAAAGAAAATATCAAACTCAGAATTTATATATATATTGAATGAAAATTGGTGTAGACTATGAGGCTGAGTCAATCAAAGTGTTAGTAGAAATGGGATTTTTTAAAAATTATTTCCAGTTAGCTGTTGAACGGACGTGGAGAGAAGAAGGAAGTCGATAAATTTAATAAGTTGGTGTGGGGTTTATTGGCTGTTTGTTTACCGTGAAAATCTGGAAATTGAATGTGGAAAAGATGAGATACACACCACAACTTGGAGTGAGATGTTGGTAAAATATACTGCTGCAAAATGAGGCGTTAGCACTAACTGGAAAATATTAAATAAAATAATCAATCAGAATGATAACCGTGTCGTGGTAATCCACTGCCTTAGAAGCAAATTCGTCCCGATGTGTGTAATCGCTACAATGGACGAACAACCCCCTGAGGTTAACACGGCTCTCCAAGAATTCCGTACACCCGAAAACTGGAGTGAACTTGGTGGTATTGCTCTTCTCTCAACTCAAACAACACTCAAAAGAGAAGAGTGTTTCAAAGCAAATGTTTGCTTAGAATATATATCAAAGTGAATGAAATTGCCCTCTATTTATAGGCTAAATAGTGAAGGCAAAATAGTCACTTCCAAATCACAATTTAATTCTATTAAACATAGAAATAAAATCCTTTAAAAGAAGGTTACAAATTGAGCATTACCAACATTCCCCCACTAATGCAAAAGAATTCTTTCGTAAAGATGAGAGCCATGAAGTTAAAACATGAGAAGAGCAATAATGAGATTAGTTGCTTAAGCACTAGTGAACGTATCTGGAACTAGTACATAGTGATGATGAGCAATCCTTCTCTTAGATAAGTGAAACTAGTCTTGAACTTTCTAAGGTTGGGGTAAACTCATAACACACAGCTAACCCCTTCATCCACCAAAATCCTCGATGTGTCTACAAAAAATATATACAAAAACGTATATAGGTTTAGCCCTCTTTCCTCATGATTCTAATAAGTGTACTAGAAAAATGACCCAACGTTTTTCATAGAAGGTGGCTAATCTTTCTCACTTACGTAGGTTATTTCATTAGGTCTATCTCAACATAAACCACTCAATCTGAGCTATGAAATAATTAAGAGCTTTTATAATAGCTCAACCTCACAAAGGGTATGGTGACTTTCTTCAAGTTCATTAAAAATGAACCACCCAAACTCTGGGATAAGAAATCATTAAGAATAAATATTCAACCTCATAATTCGGTGAATTCAATATGTTCTTCTCACTAGGAACTCCCTGTAACACCCCCCAACCCGTATCCGACCAGGATACGAGTCCGAAGTGTCACATTGACTTTTCAAAAATTTATTCGTATAAAATAATGAGTAATTTAAAAACTTTTATAACATTTAAATTATTCAAAACATTTACAAAATTATTCAGAGCTTATACAATATATTCTTTTGATTACATGCCAACTAGAACTTTATATACAAAAATACATATTATTCACCTTTCTTCTGATCTGACATTCGGTATTTTACTTTTCTTTTCGCTTTCCAAACCTACGTGTGAAACAATCACACGCTAAGTCGATGACTTAGTGAGGCATATAAAACATATAATATTTCATATAACATAAAGCATACATAAACATATACCATCATTATCATAATCTCTATCAATATCATTAAGAAACACACATAACATCATATGGTTCATGTAACACATTTCAAACCACTTACCTTTTATAACCATTTATAAACCCATCGTATACATATCACATTCAGTATGCTTGTTTAATCACTTTATTAGCCCATGTACACTAGTGAGAACTTAAGGTATGTGAGTACATTGAGGTTGTGCACACATATGCTGTCACCACAGCTCGATCAATGTCCCGAAGTACCAGTCCATAGATTCCGAAGAACCTAGGTAATCAATCTATATGTCCCGAAGAACATAGGTAAACAGTCCATATGTCCCGAAGAACATAGGTAAACAGTCCATATGTCCCGAAGAACATAGGTAAACAGTCCATATGTCCTGAAGAACATAGGTAAACCCTCGACCCTTGGCATGCCAACTATACCCTAGCTCTCATATCACATAACATGGGCATTATCATTTAACAGTTCACATTACTTGTCATTTCTCTTCTGTCACATACCACATGTATGTGTAACCATGTATTCCATATCATATCACATGTTCATATAAGCTCATAGCTTCTTTCACATATACATGTAATCACTTAGTCTATTTTCATGTAATTCTTTTCACTTCTCATATGATTTTATATTCATATCTCACATAGTTCATATCACCTTGCATTGTTTCATATAAACATAGATGTCATATCTTGTTCGTATATATTTTCTATATACCTCATATATCTCATAGTTCTTTCACATAGCTCACTATCATATTTTCATATCATATATCTTATAATAGATTCTTATATCATCATTTGTTTCCTTTCTACCTATTCATAATCACATAACATATACAAAGCATATCATTATCTTTAGTCATGCATACATACAATCAATGTAATACAGATAATCACATATAATTATAACAACACATAATCATGTCCATGACTTCATGCATATTACTCTAGGAAATAGACTCATCGCAAGTCTTATTTCCATTAAACACTACATATCACTAGTATGCACTCACCTTGGCCTCACTAGTTAATTCCAATATCTTATCTTTCCCTTGATCGATCTTACTTGCCAAATGTTCCGGAATTGCTTTACGCGCAGAATCTACATAAATGTACATTTTGAGGCAATAATTAGATACCTACACCTTGTAATTGGATACTAGCAACTTAAACGAACTTATTAAACCAATATTTACAATTTTCCTTTAGGGGGAATCGATTCCCTCCTGTGGGGGAATCGGTTCCCCTATGAGATTCTAGAATTTCTGGTTCGCTTGAGGGGTATCGATTCCCCATTGAATGGGTACCGATTCCCCTTGCCCAGAAATCATATTTTCAGCACGAAATTTACTTCATTTCATTTTAAACACTTCATATTTCAACCTCTCTTATATACTAAACTCAAAAACACATACTTAAGCCCATTTGTACTCATTTAATCCATCTTAATTCTCAAAATCCTCTCCTCTTAATGAAATTCAAGAATTATACTCAATTTTCAACATGTTCTAAATTCCTTTCTATCACTCCAAATCTCTTAATTCAACTATTGACAAGTCAAATTCAACTTAAAATTCAACTTATCAACTTTATTTCAAGATTTCATTCAAAAACTCAAAATCTTTAATCTCCCTATACTTTTCATCTTGTTGTTTTATAACCAATTAAGTTTTCCTTAAGCTTAATTACTATCCAATGAACAACACCCAACCTTTAGTTGAACAAATAATCAACTAATGAAGAAACTTACCTTTGCGCTTGAGCTCTTACGGGAGGAGAAAGAAGAAAGGAAGAAGAGATGAAATGTTTTCATCTTCCACGTTTCAATCTCCTATTAAAGGGGATAAAAATATCTTTATTTTCAAATGACCATTTTGCCCTTTACTACTTTGGATAATTACTAAAAACTTCCAGGGATTATCTCCACATAAATCATTGAACTTTTCAACTTTTCCATTTTAATCACCAAATTCTAAAATTTTATAATTTAGTCACTAACCTATAATTTGGGATGTTACAAATCTCCCCTCCTTTAAAGAAAATTCGTCCTCGAATTTTCACTGCACACCTTGATAAGAATATGTCTGTTAATGTTCTCATGTTGTTTCCTTTACTTAATATTTCTTTCCCTTAGTTCTTCAACTACCCTCTTTTTTTTCTCTTTTTTTTACATCCTTATCATGCCACTTATCATATAACCAATAGCATCAGTTCTTATCACTCAAAATCATTAATCAATCAAATTCCTTATCAATCTTTAATTACCTTGCAGTAATAACCAACCTTTATTCCATCATCGCTTAATTACTTCTTACACTTTCTTAATACATATAAATTATTCTTTATTCCTCTGACTAAATCTGCTTGACCAAGAAACATAACCTTTATTTATTCAAAATCAAAATCTCCTTATACATAAATCATATATTTTCTTTCATGCTCACATATTCTTTTCCTCTCACTTGTACTAATCTCTGATTACTAATCTTTATCATCTCTTCACCACTTTGATAATCAACACTCCTTGCACATACCTTATTCTTCATAAAGTCCTTTTCAAATCATAATACACATATACTTGACTTCCTTCAAACATATTAATCCTTTACTCTTTCCGGTCGAAACTAACTCAGCATTAATTTATTTAACTCATTCAACTCACATTCTTACTCATTCACAATGCAATTTGCCTGGGTTCAAACTCAGGCATTACAATTTCCTTTATCTTATAAATCAATCATCAATGCACCTATTCTTAAACCCTTGCAAAACAGTACCTATATCACTTGATCCTTTTAAAATAATTTTGCTTTACCTATTTTCTAGCAGAACTTTTAATCCAATCCATTACTTTCCCTTCTAACTTAACTTCATATTCATTCTTAACTCCTTATTTAATCTTCCAGTACCAGACTCTACTATTCAAGCGTATCTGCCTTTCATCAAGTTTTGATCCTTTGCTATGGAATACAACTAATTCAAATCGAGTCTGTAATTGACAATCATAATCTATGTCTCTCTTCGATAATATCTATTTTTATGAGATACGAATTCTCTTAATTCTTCTGAGATCTCTCTAGATCTTTAATACAATTCATCACTTCTTGAAAAGAAAAAAAATTTAACATCAATAATATTCTTTTCGTCTAGGGACAAACCCTCCATACCTCACTTACATACATCATTTTTCCTTCAAATAACTTACAACAATTTCTTCAACTTATCAAACTATATTCATATCCCTACACGTTACGATTCCTCTGTTTTCAAAATCAAGCATTCTAACTTTCTCTGTCTTATAAACTGATTGTTG